CCCTGGTTTTGGGGTGTCTCCCCCTGTTTTCCCCTCGTTGGTGGACAGGCAGGGGTGTTTTGGGGGTCCCTACCCTGTTTTTGGGGTGTCACCCCCCTCTTTTCCCCTCTTTGGAGGGCAGACAGGGGTGTTTTGGGGGTCCCCAGGGTATTTTGGAGGACAGATGGAGGTGTTTTGGGGGTCCCCACACTGGTTTTGGGCTGTCACCCCCTCTTTTCCCCTCTTTGGTGGGCGGACAGGGGTGTTCTGGGGGTCCCCAAGGGTATTTTGGTGGTCAGACGGGTATTCTGGGGCTCCGCGGGGTGTTTTGGGGGTCTCCACACCATTTCTACGCTGCATTTGCCATCAAAACAGCGTTTCCGAACCGCTTTGGGCTGCCGCCGCCTGTTTCCACCCCCATTCCCAGCCTCTCCGGAGGCATTTTGCCTCATTTCACCCAAATTTTTGGTGCAGGGTGGGGTACCCCGTCCCGTCGGGGGTCCCCGTCCCGTGGTGGGGACAGTCGGTGACGCTCGGTGTCCCCCCGGCAGGTTTTTGAGCGGGGGCTGCAGTCCATCCCCCTCAGCATGGACCTCTGGATCCACTACATCTCCTACCTCCAATCCACCCTGGACATGAATCTTCCCGAATCCATCCAAAAAATCCGCGGGTAAGCGCCGGGCGTAGGCGGCGAACAGCTCCGGCGTAGGGAATCGCCGTCCCGGCGCTGCCCGTTCCACCTCTCCCTCTCTCTCCGTTAGCGTTTTCGAGGCGGCGGTGGCGGCTGCCGGCATGGATTTCCGTTCGGATAAGTTATGGGAGCTTTACGTCGAGTGGGAACGGGAACAGGGAGACCTGCGAGCCGTCACCGGTATCTACGACCGCGTCCTCTCCATGCCCACGCAGCTCTACAACCATCACTGGGAGAAGTACGTACCCCCGCCGGCGCGGAAAATACCCCGCGGCGGTGAAACGTCCCCCAAAAATAATTTCCGTGGTAGGAAAATACCCACAGCGGCAAAATATCCCTGCGGAAAATGCCCACGGGGCAAAATATCCCTGCGGAAAATAATACCGGCGGCAGTAAATGCCCACGGTGGCAAAATATTCCCCTGTGGAAAATAACCGCAGCGGTAAAACATCCCTGCGGCAAAATATCCCCACGGAAAATGCCCGTAGTGGTAAAATATCCCTGTGGAAATTACCCACAATGGTAAAACTTCCCGGTAGGGAAATATCCCTGTGGAAAAATGGGCACGTGGGGCAAAATATCCCTGTGGAAAATGGTTGCTGGGGCAAAATATCCCCACAGGGGCAAAATATCCCTGCGGAAAATGGCTGCTGGGGCAAAACGGCCACTGGGGCGCAAAGTATCCCCACGGAAAATGGCCACCGGGGCAAAGTATCCCCGTGGGGGCAAAATATCCCTGTGGAAAACGGCTGCCGAGGCCAATTCCCGCCATTCCCTGTCCCGATCCCTCCGGGATGGCGTCCCCCCGCCTTCAACCCTCGTCCCCCGCCAGGTTCAAGGAGCACGTCCTCCACAACCCCCCGAAAGACATCTTGTCTCCGGAGGAGCTTCTCTGGGTCCAATCCAAGCTGGCCACCGATCCCGTGCCGAAACCGCCGGAGCCGGAAGGGACGGAAGCGCCGCCGGGAGAGGATTTACCCCCCGGCGGGG